TTTTCCACTTATCTGGCACCATGCCAGTTTGTAGTGATATGTTGAAAAGATTAGCCAAAGGTGTGCTAAGCTCCTCTTTACATTCCTTTAGAACCCTTGCATACAGTTCATCAGGGCCTGGGGATTTGTTAGGTTTTAATTTTATCTATTTGCCTAAGGACCATGTCACTTGTGACCCTAATAGTGCACAGTTTATTATCGTCCTGTTCTACATAATTTATCATTACTGGAATATCACTGGTATCCTCCTGTGTAAAAATGAGAGGAAGTATGTGTTAAAAATTCTACACATTTCCTTATCACTGTCAGTGAGCTGACCCGAGGAACTTTTGAGTGGGCCTATCTTGTCCCTGATCTTACTTCTGTATACCTGAAAGAATCCTTTTGGGTTAGTCTTCGATTCTTTGCAACTTTAACCTCATAATCTCTTTTTGCTTTTCTAATTCCCTTTTTTATTTCTCTCTTTAACTGAATATATCGATTTCTTAATTGCCCCTCTCCTCTTTTGATTTGCCTATATATGCCTCTCTTTTGACCAATCAGATATTTTAATCTATTGTTCATCCATTTAGGATCATTTTTGTTTGATCTGATTTCCCTATTTGGAACATAATTTGACTGAGCAGCTAGAACTATGCCCTGGAAAGCATCATATCGGCAACCATCACCACCTACCTGACCCCTAGTCAGGTCATTCCAGTTCAGCCCACCTAAGTAATTTTTCAGTCCTATGAAATCAGCCAAGCGAAAGTCAGGGACGGAGACTTGATTGCCATTATTAGGGAATTCCATGATATGTTAAAACTGAGTGATTTGTGATCACTCTCCCCAAGCTCATCATTAACCTCAAGATTATTAATTAGTGTTTCCCTACTTTAGAGAGGGTGTGGTAGGTAAGTTTGGAGTGCCAGGTGTAAATGATAATGGGAGCCCTTTGATTGAACTTTGTATAGAAAGGGGTTTAGTTATAGGTAATACATATTTTAAGAAAAAGAGGATAAATAAGTATACAAGATATGATGTAGGGCAAAATGACAGTAGTTTGTTGGATTATGTATTGGTAGATAAAAGACTGTTGAGTAGACTTCAGGATGTACATGTTTATAGAGGGGCCACAGATATATCAGATCACTTTCTAGTTGTAGCTACACTGAGAGTAAAAGGTAGATGGAATACAAGGAGAATAGAAGCATCAGGGAAGAGAGAGCTGAAGGTTTATAAACTAAAAGAGGAGGCAGTTAGGGTAAGATATAAACAGCTATTGGAGGATAGATGGGCTAATGAGAGCATAGGCAATGGGGTCGAAGAGGTATGGGGTAGGATTAAAAATGTAGTGTTAGAGTGTTCAGCAGAAGTTTGTGGTTACAGGAAAGTGGGTGCGGGAGGGAAGAGGAGCGATTGGTGGAATGATGATGTAAAGAGAGTAGTAAGGGAGAAAAAGTTAGCATATGAGAAGTTTTTACAAAGTAGAAGTGATGCAAGGAGGGAAGAGTATATGGAGAAAAAGAGAGAGGTTAAGAGAGTGGTGAAGCAATGTAAAAAGAGAGCAAATGAGAGAGTGGGTGAGATGTTATCAACAAATTTTGTTGAAAATAAGAAAAAGTTTTGGAGTGAGATTAACAAGTTAAGAAAGCCTAGAGAACAAATGGATTTGTCAGTTAAAAATAGGAGAGGAGAGTTATTAAATGGAGAGTTAGAGGTATTGGGAAGATGGAGGGAATATTTTGAGGAATTGTTAAATGTTGATGAAGATAGGGAAGCTGTGATTTCGTGTATAGGGCAAGGAGGAATAACATCTTGTAGGAGTGAGGAAGAGCCAGTTGTGAGTGTGGGGAAGTTCGTGAGGCAGTAGGTAAAATGAAAGGGGGTAAGGCAGCCGGGATTGATGGGATAAAGATAGAAATGTTAAAAGCAGGTGGGGATATAGTTTTGGAGTGGTTGGTGCAATTATTTAATAAATGTATGGAAGAGGGTAAGGTACCTAGGGATTGGCAGAGAGCATGCATAGTTCCTTTGTATAAAGGCAAAGGGGACAAAAGAGAGTGCAAAAATTATAGGGGGATAAATCTGTTGAGTATACCTGGTAAAGTGTATGGTAGAGTTATTATTGAAAGAATTAAGAGTAAGACGGAGAATAGGATAGCAGATGAACAAGGAGGCTTTAGGAAAGGTAGGGGGTGTGTGGACCAGGTGTTTACAGTGAAACATATAAGTGAACAGTATTTAGATAAGGCTAAAGAGGTCTTTGTGGCATATATGGATTTGGAAAAGGCATATGACAGGGTGGATAGGGGGCATGTGGCAGATGTTGCAGGTGTATGGTGTAGGAGGTAGGTTACTGAAAGCAGTGAAGAGTTTTTACGAAGATAGTGAGGCTCAAGTTAGAGTATGTAGGAAAGAGGGAAATTATTTCCCAGTAAAAGTAGGCCTTAGACAAGGATGTGTGATGTCACCGTGGTTGTTTAATATATTTATAGATGGGGTTGTAAGAGAAGTAAATGCGAGGGTCTTGGCAAGAGGCGTGGAGTTAAAAGATAAAGAATCACACATAAAGGGGGAGTTGTCACATTTGCTCTTTGCTGATGACACTGTGCTTTTGGGGATTCTGAAGAGAAGTTGCAGAGTTGGGGATAAATTTTGGTGGGTTGAAAAAGAAGAAAATTAAAAGTAAATACGGGAAAAGAGTAAGGCTATGAGGAAAAAAAAAAGTTAGGTGATAAAGATCGGTACAGATAGGAGGGAGAGGTTGGAGGGGGTGAATGTATTCAGTATTTGGGAGTGGACGCTAGCGGATGGGTCTATGAAAGGGGGTGAATATAGAAATGATGAGGGAAAGGGGGTTTAAAGGGGTGCACTTGGGAGTCTGGGGAGAAAAAAGAACTTTGTCCTTGGAGGCGGGGGGGGGGAAGTATGAGAGATAGTTTACCAATCCCTTTTTTTGGGGTGTAAAGCAGGGGTGATGAATTTTGCAGTGAGAGAAGGGTTGGGAGGCGGGGAGATGTCAGTTGGGGCAATGGTGATGTGAATATAATGAGGAATTCGATTTTGGGAAGTTAGGAGGAGTTGGGGATACCAAAACTGTTGTCCGAGGGCTGGGGAAAGGGTTTTGAGGTGGTTCGGACTGAGAGAGAATGGAGTGAAACAGGTGACTTTAAGAGTGTATAAGTCTGTGCGGAAGGAAGGCGGGGTAGGGGTCGGCCTAGGAAAGGTTGGAGGAGGGGGTAAAGGAGGTTTTGTGTGCGGGGGGCTTGGACTTCCAGCAGGCATGCGTAAGCGTGTTTGTAGGAGTGAATGGAGACAAATGGTTTTTTAATACTTGACGAGCTGTTGGAGTGTGAGCAAAGTAACATTTATGAAGGGGTTCAGGGAAACCGGCAGGCCGGACTTGAGTCCTGGAGATGGGAAGTACAGTGCCTGCACTCTGAAGGAGGGGTGTTAATGTTGCAGTTTAAAAACTGTAGTATAAAGCACCCTTCTGGCAAGACAGTGATGGAGTGAATGATGGTGAAAGTTTTTCTTTTTCGGGCCACCCTGCCTTGGTGGGAATCGGCCAGTGTGATAAAAAAAAAAAATGTATATTTCATGTAAAAATTTTTTTTGTTTTAATATTTCTGGGTGTCAGGAACGGATTAATTGTATTTACATTATTTCTTATGGGGAAAATTGATTCGCAAATCGTAAATTTTGTTTATAGTAACGGCTCCAGGAACGGATTAATTACGAAAAATGAGGGACCACTGTATAAATACGTGACCAACCCTGGCTGTTAAGATGTACATGTACGTGACCGACCCCTCAAAGGGTTAAATGCCTAGTTCTATTGCTAACTTAATATACGTTAATGTAAACTTGTTATCTGGCATTTATATGCATTTATAAGTGGAAAAAAATGGCGTTCTGCTTTCAGCGATGTCCACTTTCTGGTGATAGCCTGGAACCTAACATACCATATAAGTGGGGCCCTACTGTATGATGAATGTTATGTCATCTGGAAAGAGAACTGGTTTAAGTTCCTGGGGGGCATGTGGTAGGTCATTGATGTAGATGAGGAATAATATTGAACCAAGGACACTACCCTGAGTGACCCTTGTGTTGATAGTTTGTGTTGGTGAGGTTAGTGTCATTGAGTGTCACATGCTGGTGTCTATCAGTGAGGTAAGACTTTTTGAAAGTGAAAAAAGAAATTGAATGGAGTCAAAATCTAAGATATTATTGTGGCTTTTGTTTCCTTAGTGATAGTGCAGGCCTAACTGTGTCTCAGATCAGTTGGCAGGTTTTTTTCTGGAGTTTAGCCCAAAGTGTCAAGGTGAGTGGAGACAATGCTGACATGTCTTAGGAAAACTCTTACTACTAGTTAGGAAATACCATCCATGGGGAGGAGGTAACATTCTGAATACTGCAGTGAGATCAGTATTATTGAAGAGGCTGATCAATGTTCATTTATTTGTCCTTTTATTACGTATATGCAGAGTACTCATTTTTTCATAGTTCTTGATTTACACTTTCAGATATTTTTTTAGTGTGTATGAAATTGTCTTGTATTTAAATGGGTTCAATGATCTTGCTTTTGTGAAAGACATATATCTCTCACAGTTACTCAGTCGTCCACTAGACTTTTTTTCTCTTCCTCCTCCTCCTCCTCCAAGCACTTTCCCTGCCTCCAAAAATAATGTTTTCCCCATTGTCCCTTCAAAATATTTTCCCTTTTCACCTTCCCATCCTCCACAGTTAGCAAGTTAATGCAATATATCACTAAAATTAAATGAAATAATACCTGGCAAGATATTTCCATATACCTCACAATTCTGTAACTGAGAATTTTATACAATTCAGATGCCCACATGCACATATTGGTACAAACAATACATATTAATTACTTATGAAAAATATCAAGTATTAGATAAACATGATATGCAATGCACATTTTGTATCATAAGAATTTTACAAAGACAATATATATCAGAGTTCAGTTCAAATTAAAAAGAGTCAGTTTATCTCACCAAAGTTATTTGGAGCTAGAAGGTAGGACTCTTGGCTGGGTTTTCCTACAGGAAGTGATGGCATCAAGATGACAGTCTCTCCATTCACAGTACTCTGCGGCTCCTTGCTACCTGCTATGCTTCAATAACAACACACTGATCAGTATGGGTTATTATCAATCCATCATCACTGCAGGTGTTTTGAAAGTTGTGGCATTTAGTGAGGTAATAAAGTTGGCTTTTATTTCACTCAAGTTGATATAAATTTTAGCAGTGAGTTATACTCATTTCTTTAATTTTACACATGTTTAATACAGTTAATTAAAACTGGTCCTCTCATTTCACTAATCTAAGAGGTTTAATTAAAATTAGTGAGCCTTTACATTAAATTAAAGTTGTTGCTTTCAAGAGAGCACAATATATAAACCTTATAAAATTACTTGACATGTTATACAAACTTGGTTGAAAGCTTCAGGTTTTACAGAGCAGTTCACTCAGTCTTAACCTAGCTTTAATTTACTGGAAAATGCATTATATAGGTGAAAATAATTTGAATGCTATGGTCTCTTATATAACATTTAACCCTTTCACTTGCTGTTACATAATACTACAGCTTGGAGTTTAGGGTTCGTCACATAGTTCTACATCATGAGCTTGGCTCACTCAGATAAGCTGTGAGCAGTAAATTTTGGCATAAATATAAGAGAATTGGCCTGTGTGGTGAGGGGGCACAATATATAAAATCCTGTCCCATGTGGTGCATGATGGGAAAAACAAAACTGACAGTGTGAATGGTTTACAGTAGCAATTGTGGTACAGTGGACCCTCGCTTTTCGTAAGCATCGGAATTTGTAATTTTTTCAAAACATAACGTTTTTTCGTCAAAATATTGACTCATGAATCATTGTTTGACTCGCAAATAGTCGTTTGTTCCAAACACGCACGAGCGGCCCACACACCATTCACAGTCAGTGTGCCATTGTTTATCAGTGAGTGAGCATGATCTTACGTGTTCATACGATACATTTCATAATATTCCATTCGTTTTAGTGCTTGCAACTGCTAAATAAGCCACCATGGACCCAAAGAAAGCTCCTAGTTCCAGGCCTTTGGTAAAGAAGGTGAGAAACACGATAGAATTCAAGAAAGACAACATTGCAAAATATGAAAGTGGAGTGCGTGTGGCAAAGCTTGCCAGGATGTATGGGAAACCCCATACAACCTGGCAAGCTTCCATCATGGCCAAGAAAAAGGAAATCAAGGAAGCTGTTGTTGCAAAAGGGGGTAAATATACTCACAAAAATGAGATCACAAATCCTCGAAGATGTGGAGAGGTTGTTATTGGTGTGGATCAATGAGAAACAATTAGCAGGAGATAGTGTTATGCAGTCGATAATTTGTGAAAAGGCAAGGTAGTTGCATGACGATCTCGTAAAGAAAATGTGTGCAACAAGTGCTGATGTTAGTAAATTCAAAGGCCTACCTACCACCACCATTCTTCCTACCTACCAGCAGCACCACCATTCTTCCTACCTACCAGCACCACCACCATTCTTCCTACCTACCAGCACCACCACCATTCTTCCTACCTACGAGCACCACCACCATTCTTTCTTACTACTACTACTACTACTACTACTACTACTACGACGACGACGACGACGACGACGACGACGACGACGACGACGACGACGACAACCACCACCGCCACCGCCGCCGCCGCCGCCGCCGCCGCTGCTACTACTGCCGCCGCCTCCTCCTCTTCCCTCCTCCGCCGTCATCATCATTACTTTTGCCACTGTTCCACTTCCTTCTTTCTTCCTCTCTGTCCTGTCCCTGCCCTCTCTCTCATATATATACATACATATATATATAATGTCATGCCAATTAGGTAAAATTAGTCGGTTAGCAGGAACTCGTATAAAATTAAGTCCTTTCTAAAATTTTCTCTTATACATTTAAAGATATACTTTTTTCATTCATGTTAATGTAAAAATTAATAATTTTGTACCAAAAGAACCTTAGAAAGCTTACTTAACCTTATTATAACAAGCACACCGTAATTTAGCCTAATCCAACTTAATATATTTAAGATAAGTTTACAATAATTTAATAATAAACAAACACAATGAAATATATTTTTTCGTTAGGTTCAAAATGATTTTTGCAAAATTATTACATACACAAATTTTTTGCTTGCCTTCCTCTTCAAGGGGGATATCCTTGGCGTGGTGAAGAGGCTCTTGGTCTGAGGAATTAGACCTTTTGGTCTAATTCCTCAGACTGAACCTAATTTCCCTCCCTATCCCTCCCCTATTCCTTTCCTCTTTTCGGCCTTTGGGATTCTTCCCACAGGCAATCTAGTTCCTAGGTAGGGGGAAGGGTACCATGGTCCATCCCATTTTGTTGAGGTTCTTGGCAGTGGTATAGTTTGCCATGGAATCTGGATTGCCTGGGGATGTCGATCCCTCTCCAGTCTCCGGAGGTGGCTTTGGGTGCCTTTCGGATTCCGGGGGTGGTGGCCAAAGGAGGTATGCTTTGTGGCGGGTATCCGGCCGCCCTCACTTTTGTTCACTGAGGTGGCTCGGCGGATGTGAGGTTGCTATCCCGGATTGCTGGTTTACTGGCATGAAGGGTAGAGTATGGCACGGGTTCCATGCTGCATCTGCGCTACTTGCAGAGCTGTGGTCCTCTTGGGCACAGAGGGGAATTTACAGTCCTTTCATTCCTCCTAGGAGCTATTCCTCCCCATTCCCCCCCTTTTTTTTATTCTTTTTTAGTTTATTTTTATTTTCTTCTCTCTTTTTTTTCTTAAAAACAAAAAGAAAGAAGTAACCTAATCATGGCTGACCCACTCCATGAACCTGCTACCCCCGGGCCTCTTACTGATACCACACCCTCTTCTGACCCTGCCTCATTTTTTGACCACCCTTTGGACACTTCTAATGCCCCTGTACTTCTTGCTGGTGCTGTTTCATCACCTGCTTCAGGTATCGGGGTTTCAGCTGACTCCTTCAATATGTCTGACCTACGCTCTCCTTTGACTATGCTTCCAGCCTCTCCCTCTGTGGTGCGGCAATTTTTGAATCTCCAGCCCATCCCACATCGGACCAACTCCGGTCCCACTCCTAAATGCCCACGACAATTGCCCGTTGATACTTCTTCGCTGCTTTCTCGTTCTACTCAGAAAATACTGACACGTCATGCACTCCCTTTCCATGCTCAGTTTCGGAATGCACAGTGGACTAAATTCTTTACTTTACGACCGACTTCCTCTATTGCTTATCTTTCCAACCATAGTATTGTCAAAGTGCTCCTATGCCATGTTGGTAGAGATATATCCTTTCACGCTCTCAAGAGCGGTACCTGCATCATCACTGTCCAGAATGCTACCCAAGCTCATGATCTTTCTCTTCTTTCACATATCGATACTATTCCTGTCACTATCGAAAGACATTATTCCCACAATTCTTGTAGTGGTACTGTCATTCTGCCTCATATCACTGTCCAACAGAATCTCCAGACATGTGGCGATGACATTCTCGAACAACTGGAACTCCAAGATCTCCCAATCCTCAAAGTAGACACTTACGTCCTTCCTGCCGCGGGCGGAGATGATACCCTTGCAATGTAGCTCGATTAACTTTTGACAGCCGTGAACTCTCATCCTCTGTTTATATAGCAGGACATCGTTTACAAGTTTGAAAGGTGATCCCTACACTGCAACAGTGTAGAAATTGCTGGCGATTTGGTCACCCAGTGAAATATTGCAGGTCTATAGCCGAATGTCCAGTCCGTGGTGCCAATGACCATTCTAATACGTCTTGTAGTCGACCTACCTCTTGCTTTAATTGTCATGAGGCCCACCCTTCTTACTCTCGCCATTGCCAAGTCTACTTAAACGAGCGAGAACTCTTGCCTCAAAGAGCCAGAAGGTTTCCCTTATGCTATGGCAGTTTCTCATCTAAGCCTCCATGGGAGACTACCCCGTATCTCTTATTCTCGTGTTTCTAAACTCCCCCCCCCCACCTCTGGGGTCCCATTTTCTGCAGCCTCCATAGTCACTCCTGTCTGTAATTCTTTTGCTGTCCTGGACTCGGAAGTCCCTACCTCATCACCTCAGTCTGTTCTCACTTCTTCGTGTTCTCCCTCACAAGCCCCAGTATCGACAAGGCCTTGTACGACACCTCCTCCCAATCGCCCCTCTACTTCTCAGAAGTCAAAAACATCTCCATTGCTCAAATCTCCTTTAACCCCTCCTTCCTTTCTTCCACTTCCACATATTACCTTTCCAGTCTCTGTACCTGGTTCTTCCCCTCTCACTGGCTTTGTTACAAGTGTGGAGGTTCACCCTCCTCCTCATACTGTGCCTTCCTTCCCTGTCCCCTCCCAAGTTTCTTCCTCTTCTGCCCCTTCCCAGGTTTCTGCCTCTTCTGTCCCCTCTCACACTTCTTCTCCAGTTCTCTCCACCCTTTTGTCCCACCCCTACTTTGGTACAGTCCATTACTTTCCCAATCTTTACTTGCCACCTCCTTCCATCTCCAATATTGTCTCCCATACAACATCTTTGAATTCTGAAACACTTAAAGCTATCTCAGAATATATTGAAGAGACTAAACCATCAATGGACACTGATCCACTTCCCGTTCCTTCTCTTTCCTCTCCTCCATTTGCGCAACTCCTTTCTTCACAGCCCCTCAAGGAAGGTTCCTTGATGTTGGTGAGGGGCTCTTGATTTAGGGAATTGGATCTGTGCTCCAGTTCCCCGAATTAAGCCTGAATGCCTTCCACATCCCCCCCCCCAGGCGCTATATAATCCTCCGGGTTTAGCGCTTCCCCCTTGATTATAATAATAATAATAATTTCTTCGCAGCGCTCTATTCCTTTGGTACTTGAATGTTTTCCGCTGCTGCCACATGTGGACTTTTTTAACCCCTCTAGTCCATAGGTACCCTTACCTGTGGATTTCTGGTATCTTTCTCATTGCCAATAATGGCCTATTTACAGTGGAATATCTGCGGCCTTGGGTAATCAGGGTGAGCTTCAGATGTTGCTCTTCCGGTTTTCCCCTATTGGTGTTTGCTTACAAGAACCAAAATTACACTCCGCTGTTGTCTATCCCATCTCAGGCTATAATTTA